ATAACTATATAACTATATAACTATATAACTATATAACTATATAACTATATAACTATATAACTATATATCTATATAACTATATAACTGTTACTTTTACTCGTTACTCGTTACTCGTTACTCGTTACTCGTTACTAGTTACTATTTATTGTTTTATTGTTACGAAGGCCTTCTGCATGTAATGGTGAGCGCGCGTGCGTTGCAGAGAACGACACGAGCGCGTGGCGGCGCGTGCTGGACGTGAACGTGCTAGGGCTGAGCGTGTGCAGCCGCGAGGCCGTGCAGCTGATGCGCGAACGCCACGACCAGGAGGACGGCGACGGCTACCTCGTCAACATCAACAGGTGGCGCCGCTCGCCTGCGACCAAGTCTCACTCACCTTCCATCGCGTGCCTGCGTATACGGTGGAACGAAGCGGGTTACCGTTATTGATTGCTTGCTTGCTTGATTGATTGATTAGTGATTCCGGGCGCAGCAACGGCTAAGGGCGCTAGTACCGTAAGTTTAGTGTGTGCGTGAGAGGTGACGGTGATCTCGCTGGTTAGAAAGGCCGACCTGACTCGGCTAGCCTGGTTTTGACCTAAGAGGTATCTCCCACCAGCAGGGCACCGCCCCAGCCGGGACAAGATTTATGCTTCGGACTGGTGTCCTGTCTTGGTTCCTGTCCTGTACTGGTTCGCGGGCTTTCGCGCTAATTACATACATACATACATAGAACGTAGCAGAGCGTGATTTCGATTCACAGGCATCTGGAATATAAGCTGAGCACACTTCCACTGCGTCTCTCTCCTGCGCACATCGATAGCGATAAGTCTCAGAGGGAGAAAAATGTGCTGCTCCAAGAAGAAAATTACTGTCGCCTGCTTAGCTCTACAAATTTCAACCTATGCGTACGTGTATTGTGTATCGTATTTTCGGTACGCATTTTCGGTACGTGTATTGTGTATCGTATTGTGTTGCGCGCTCATTAGCAATAAAGACGACTATTTTTTGGAAAATTAGATAGCAACCCGAAACTGAATGAACCGAACATTCTCAAATTAATAAAACATGATATTTGGCGGTACTAATACTGGACGCTGTAAGTACACATGCAAACATTTATTTGAGAATGTAATTACTACAGATAGGAGTAAGAAAAATACACTTTTTCGGCATCCCACACAGGAAGAATTTCTGTCGAAAAAATTGAACTTTCTGTGCAGCGTTACAATACTTTATGTATAGAACATAAGTGGTATGTGAGATAATTCAATTATAAAATGTCAAGATATATAACTTCTTTCTTTGGCTGAGAGCACATTTACGTCACCTTTTGTAACAAATAATTTTTAAAGTTTTATCATAACGAAAGGCGGCTGTTAAAACCTTTAACCGACGCCGACCGTTAAAGGCTACTTTTCGTTCTGTGTTGTTTCGTTCCTTTGATATAACCGTACAGTTTTC